ACAAAGACTTTTAAAGGTGCAATTCTTTGGGTCTGTCTTTCTGGATGTGGGCCACATTTCACTAGGGGCGCAAAGGGAAAGGGGGTTTAGGGCTAACTACAAGGCAAACTGAGGCGGACGCCTCAGGTGCCAGACGGTGGGGGGGGTGCCATTAGGACCCAGAGAATTGAGACCTTTCAAAGTTTTGGCCCAAGCAAGGAGGCATGGTGGCGTCATTTGAGCTCCCCACCTCAGGTGCTAAAATGTTGTGGACCAGCTCTGGCTAACTGGCTTGACCTGCCTTCTATTGTTCCTGATTTCTTCAAGAAAATTGTAGGGGCCAGTCTCCTTGACCCTGAGAGGTAGAGGCATGAGGAGCCAGAGCCTGAACAGGTGTAAATCAGTGAGATCAATGGAACTGTGCCAGCTTATGATAGCTGGGGATCTGGGCTTCTGTTCCTTAAGGCGGCATCCTTTATTTATGCCCCCCCACACACACAAAAAAACCAAACAAACCAGTAGGCTGTGTCTAGACTGGCAAGTTTTTCCACAAAAGCAGCTGCTTTTGCGGAAAAACTTGCCAGCTGTCCACACTGGCCCCTTGAATTTCCGTTAAGAACACTGACTTCCTACTGTCTGAAATCAGTGCTTCTTGCGGAAATACTATGCTGCTCCCATTCAGCAAAAAGCTTTTGCGCAAAAGGGCCAGTGTAGACAGCTCGGATTTGTTTTGCGCAAAAAAGCCCCGATGGTGAAAATGGCAATCGGGGCTTTTTTGCGGAAAAGAGCGTCTAGATTGGCACGGACGCTTTTCCGCAAAAGCACTTTTTGCGGAAAAGTGTCCGTGCCAATCTAGATGCTCTTTTCCGCAAATGCTTTTAACGGAAAACTTTTCCGTTAAAAGCATTTGCGGAAAATTGCGCCAGTCTAGACGTAGCCGTAGTGTTTTCCTGCCTCTCTCCCTCCCATTGAGAAGGAACATGTGGTTCTATCCAGGTTCATGATGCATCCAGAACAGGGGTGAGCAATAATTTCTGATGGGGGGGGGGCCACGCCAAGATTTTGGTAAGTGGTCAAAGGCCTCACTTTTCTATGGAGGGGATGTGGGGCCAGGGACGGAGGCTGGGTATAGAAGGGGGCTTGGGGTGCAGGAGAAGATGGGGGTCTGAGAAAGTTTGGGTGAAGGAAGGGGTTCACAGCATGCAAAGCTTCTCCCCCGGTGCAGAGAAGCAGATGGAGCAGTCCGCAGGTCTGCAGTGGGGTGGGTTGGCAGGCTGGACTGAAAGGCTGGTGGGCTGGATCCAGCTCCCGGGCTTTATCTTGCCCACTCCATTCTAGAGTTTTGGACTTGATCCTCAGAACTCTCTTTCTGCACAACATCTGCCCCAGCCAGCTGTGCTGGAGACCTGATGCTCTCATCACACCAACAATCCTGAGAGTTGTGTTGGGCATGAGTCTTGCCCCCGGCCATCTCTAGTCGCTCCTCAGTTTTCTCCCCCAGTTTCCCTAGTTTCCCTAGTGTCCGTGCAATGACTTTCCAATGCCAAAGGCTGCAGTGGTAATTGTAATTGCTGCCTTGTTGTGCCCCTAAGGTCAGAGATGCCTCTGGGAGCGGGTCCCATGGTCACAGACTCTCCATATAAATCCTCCCGGTGTGGATGCAGCCCCAGAGTCAGCAAGAGAGATGTCACGGTGCTGCATAGGCATCAACAACGCTGGAATAATCTTACGATGTCACCGTCCCAACAGTGAGAATTTGCTGTGGTGGGGGGAGAAATGCGGGCATTCAGAGACAATGGCGAGGATGTCCAAGGAGGTGCCTAGATAGAGAGACTGGCTAGAAAGGAAAGGCCATTTGATGCAGCAACCCAGTTGGAGGCTCTGGAGTGGGAAGTTCTTGCAATATATTGTAGTCTGAGTGAAAGTGGGGAAAGGTAAGTGAAAGAGCCTTTCTGCTATTTCCTTTATATTACAGGGAGAAAAGATCAAAAATAACCTTAAAAAATAACCTCTACCTTCTGCTATGTAGCTAGCTGTCCACAAATATTTTATCATATTTCCTTCCAGCTGCCTTGACCCTGAGCATCGTATTAACGATCCGCACAAAGGAATGGCCAAATGCACAGGCTGCTTTGCACCGTTTTAGCGACACAAGGCAGACACGCTGCTTGCTCTAGCCAATTCGACAAGGCTGACAGATGCTTTGAGTGGCCGGAACTGGGCAAGGCAGCTAGAAAGTAAAGTAAGCCCCCAAGTTAAGAACATCAAAGTTATGAACTGATCGGCCAAGCACATGCCTCATTTGGAATCAGAAGTAAATGATCAGGCAACAGCAAACACACACACACATACACACTCACACACACCAAATACAGTGTGGTGTGGCATTAAATGTAAATTGCTAGCTAGGCCTCAGGACTCAGACCTGGGCTAATGTTTTAGGCTTTTATGTTACTACATAAACCACTAAAAAAAAAATCAAAGGAAAGCGGCATTTTTTCTTCCTTGTGGTAAAGTTTCCAAGCTGTACTAACTCAGTACTCAGCTGCCAACTTCTGAAAGAACCACCTGAATGTTTTGAACGAACATTTCCGAGTCACAAACCTCTTCCGTTCCTGAGGTGTTTGTAACTCTGAGGTCCCATGACACCGGCGAATCTAAGCCAAAATGATTGAGTGGGTCAAATCTTGGTGGTAAAAAATGGTCAACAGCAGGAAGACGTTCTCTGCCAATTCGCAAAACCTTTACGAGCAAAGGATTGAGAGAGAAGGCTAGACAGAGACCATCATCTATTTGCTAACCAATACATCCATATACTGTATATACCACTTCCATTACTGTATGAATCTCGACTTCCGAGAGAAGTGGCTGTGTGTGTTAGACCATCAGTAGGAGCATCCATGTGTTAACAGGGCTGGAAACACAAACAGAGGCTTAAGTCTCCAGACTTGAAGCTTAATAATAATTAACAATAAACTATTTATACCTCAGTGAATAATCCCATTTGAGGATTGGGTGACGTGGAAGACGTAGCAGATATTAACAGCTTGCCTACCGCCAGTCAGTTCCTTAGAAATACAGCACTAATCACAATGATCAGACTTGCGACCTTAAGCACGCTGTTGTGTTCAGACCCTCTACGCTACTGTTTACAAAACATGCCTCATGAGGCATCACTGGAAAACTAACAACTCCTCTATGGTTAATATTCTCACATGTTGGAATTACGACCAAAGTGTGTGTTAAATCAGGCATGTCGGGAGTGTTAGAAGTCTGCCTTAGCCCGAGGATTGTGTATCTGATTCTCTGACAGGCCCAGTAAAAGCCACGAAGCTCCATTTTTTCATATTAAACTGAGCTAGCGAGCTAACAAATGGGGGAAGAAAGCACGGAGCGTCCATCTTTACCAGACTCCTCGTTGCCTTCCCCGCAACTTGAATCAATGTTACTTTGGGAGCTAACCCTCAAGAGAATCCACTGCAAACAGGCCCCAGCCAAAGGGTTTGCAGGGCCACAGGCAGGACGCTGGGAGCAGGGCCCCAGACCCGGCTGGTGGATGGTGAATACTCAGTAGCACGGGGCCCTGAAAATGCAGGGTCCGAGGCATTTGCCTTGCTCACCTTACCCTAGGGCTGGGCCTGACTGCAAAGGTTCACTGGTCCATAAGGACATGAGGTGCGTTACCCCTGAAGATCTGTGTGTGCACCTACAGGTACCCATATCCCTGGCTGAGAACCACTGTCCTACCACAATACAAAATAGTACCAATATGAGACACCATCTTCCCACTGTCTCTTAGCTGCGTTTTCTTTCTCGTTATCTTATGACTGACGCCCCAACTATTTTTCCTGCCCTTGTTTCTGCCAGCGACTGTGAAGATTCATATGGCATCCCCATAGCGACACGCCATCTCCAGAGGCAGCAGGAGGTGCCAGGGAGTTTCTCGAGGAGCGAAAGCATCAGGACCAACAGTTAGTTTTACCCCCAGACACTTTTGTCAGAGTTTTGGGCAACAGTTGCCAACTCTGCTCCAGCCAATTGCTTCTCAGTTCTTCAGTTTCCCCATCTGAAGCATGTGGGATAGTAACATTGACTCAGCTCCATGAAGTGCCCTGAGATCCCTAGGTAGAAAGTGCTGCCTAAATGCAAAATAACAAAATCCACCTCTTAATCCAGCATTTGTCCCTAATCTTGATTGGATTATCTCTATTGGAGGCTGATTTCCCTCACATACCTTGGCAATTTGTCCCATTGCTTTGCTGTTACAGGGAATAACCCTTCAGTCCAGCAACCAGTGTGAGCAGCTGGGCTGGGGGAAGGCAAAATACATGGAGGCATCCTAGCTCCCAAGTCCATGGAGCACATCTGCCATGATCATAGGGTTCACTGCATATACGACACCTCTCTGGTCTCCCTGCATGTCAGAGCTTGTGCCTTTACTTTTCCTATGTTATGCCAACTCTGACACCAGGTCCTGGGGCTGTCTACTGACTGTGCTTACCCAGCATGTCTCACGGGGTGTGGTACCCTATGGGAATGTGTGACCAGAAATGAACAGAGTGACCAGATGGCCGATTTTGGTTTAATCTTAAGAGTAGGGACAATGGGGAACATAAGAGAAAAGGGATTTGGAAACAACAAAAGGGACAGATGTGTGTCTCTCATACTGAGAGTTCTGACATCCCTTGGTGGAGATCTCATCTACACAGCAGGCAGTTATTTCGAAATACCGTCAAAATACTGTCAAGCTGGCGGACTTCTTACTCCGACTCCTGTAACCCTCATTGTACGAGGAATAATTTTAAAATAAATGCTGAGTAGATGCTCCCAATTTCGAAATAAGCTCCTGATCATTCTTAGTGCTTTTAAAAATAACAGTGGTCCAAAACTGGATCCCAAACTCCCTGCAAGTTGAGGCTTTCTGAGACTTCAGAGATGGCTGGAGTGTAAGAGCTGTGACAACACTGTGTGTGTTTACTGACTCTCTGTCTTTCTCCAACCAGACACCATCTGCTGCAGAAATGGCTGGGGGGAATCAGACGACAGTGAGCGAATTCATCCTTTTGGGATTCACAGGTGACCTGACAACCCAAGTCGCCCTCTTTGTGGTGTTCCTAGGTATCTACCTCATCACCCTTGTTGGGAACCTTGGGATGATCGCCTTGATCCATCTCGACTCCCGCCTTCACACCCCCATGTACTTTTTCCTCGGTAACTTGTCCTTCTCAGATCTCTGCTATTCTACTGTTGTCGTTCCCAAGACACTGGCCAACTTCTTGGCTGAGAAGAAAGCCATTTCGTTCATTGGCTGTGCCACTCAGTTCTATTTCTATGCTGTGTTTGCCACTGTGGAGTGCCTCCTACTGGCTGCCATGGCCTATGACCGCTACGCGGCCATCTGTAACCCACTCCTATACCCAGTTGTTATGTCCCAGAAGGTCTGCATCTGGCTGGTGGTGGCTTCCTACCTAGTGGGCTGCACCAATGGTCTGATACACACAAACACTACCTTCCGCCTCCCCTTCTGTGCCTCCAACGTCATTGACCATTTCTTCTGTGATGTGCCCTTGATACTGAAGCTCTCCTGCTCTGACACCCTGGTCAACCAAGTCCTGCTCTTCGTCATCTCCTCCTTGATTGGCCTTTTCTCTTTCCTCACCATCTTTGTCTCCTACGTGTACATCCTGGTCAACATCTTGCGGATCCACACCGCCGAGGGCAGGCACAAGGCCTTCTCCACCTGCGCCTCCCACCTGATGGCCGTCACTCTGTTCTACACCACCATCCTCTTCATCTACCTGAGGCCCAGCTCCAGCTACTCCGAAGGGCAAGACCAAGTGGCGGCTGTCTTCTACACCGTGGTGATCCCCATGATGAACCCCATCATCTACAGCCTGAGGAACAAGGAAGTGAAGGACGCCCTATGGAGGATAGTACAGAGGAAGGGCGCCTCTATTGGGACATAAGTTGCAGATAACAATCTCCACCTCCTCCTCGCCCTGTAGGGAATCACTGATTTATTAGAGAACTTTGTCTTCCCAGCACAAAGAGTGAGCAACCAGGAGCAATTCTGGGGGACAGGGAAAATTAGTGTGGATAAGAGTAGCCCTACAGTTAGGGTTCTGCCTACCAGAACTGTCCGGGGGGGAAATTGCCTTTGAACTGTTTCACTATTCCTCATGATGGTCACCGTCTTTGTCAACACAATGAGGACAGGCCCAGCTACCTCCAAATCTATACGCACATACAGGTAGAGCCAAAAGGACCCAGGTTCTTTGGCTAGGGCTATCACAGCCTCCTTTCCTCTGCCAACTGGGGCCAGAACTGGGTCTATACCCCACACTCATCCCTGGGTTTCGCCCGCTTGTCCACACTGAGCTGAGGAGTGGAAACATTGTTCCTTTTTCAATAAAGCACCATTATTTTCTTATTTCCTCCTGTTTCAGTGCGTGAAGTGAGGGTATTTGCCTAATAAGGGTGAGATTCTAGGCTGGACCCAATGAATGGTTTTAGAGCATCCCCTGCTCGGTCCCTCAGACGCCCCTGTCAGAAGACAGGAAAGGAGGCTAGATGGACCATTGGCTTGATGGAGCATGGCTGTTCTTCTGCTCTCATGATATGTTCTTATCACAAGTCCTGTTATCTCAACCTACCCAATCCTCCTCCTACCTACCAATTTTCTTTACATGCAGGCTTTACATCAGTGGTCTGTCTGATTGTGAATAGAACAAGTGGTGATTGGGTGATCCCACAGAGAAGGGGACAACGAGGAGTCCTGTGGCTCCTTGGAGACTAAGGGTATGTCTACATTACCACCCTAGTTCGAACTAGGGTGGTAATGTAGGCATACCGCACTTGCAAATGAAGCCTGGGATTTGAATTTCCTGGGCTTCATTTGCATAAGCCGGCCGGCGCCATTTTTAAATGCCGGCTTATGCAAATGAAGCCCAGGAAATTCAAATCCCGGGCTTCATTTGCAAGTGCGGTATGCCTACATTACCCCGCTAGTTCGAACTAGCGGGGGAGGGTAGACATACCCTAACAGATTTATTAGGGCATAGGCTTTCGGGGGTAAAACCCACTTCATCAGATGCATTGGAGTGGAAGGTACAGAGGTGGGCGTATATATAAAAACAACAAAAGAAAGAAGTTACTTGTCTTAATGATGCTCATCAAGTCAGGGACAAAGTTTACTCCATCCAAAACAATGTTCATTCAAGCTGCGGTGAAGGAAGTATGGAGTCTGGAGGGGAAGGGAGCTCCATGCTGGTTTCTTCTCTGTCCCCTTCTCTGTGGGATCACCCAATCACTACTTGTTCTATTCACAGTCAGACAGACCACTTCCCCTCTCGTGCACAACACCTCACCTCCCCGGTGACACTCACCTAATATCTCAGCAGTAACTGCCCTGAGAGATCTGTAACGCTGATGGTGGGAAGGAACTCCCAGAGATGGCATGTTTAATGAGGTGATTCCAAGGTGCCACAGGACTCCTCATTGTCCCCTTCGCTGTGAGATCACTCAGTCACCACCTGTTCTATTCACTGGACTGTAACAGAGAGGGGCAAAGATGCTTGACTTACCTTTCACACGGCAAGACCAAGAGGAACCAGCTCTCTGTATTTCTATGGAAGGTCCTGACTGAGCCATGCTGGACTAAGGGTGTGTCTAGACTACATGCCTCCGTTGACGGAGCCATGTAAAGTAGTTTACTCGACATAGTCAATGACGCGGGGATTTAAATAATCCCCGCTTCATTAAAATAAAAATGGCCACCGCGCTGTGCCAACAATCAACTGACCCGGCACAGCGCGGCAGTCTAAACGCGGCACGGTCAACAAGGGAAGCCTTTGTCAACTGCTCCTGTAATCCTGAGTTCACGAGGCATACCGGAGCCATGTAGTCTAGTCACACCCTAAGAGTGACTGGGGAGATAAACCATCTTTAACAACAATTGTGCCTTGATAGACTAGATTGTGCCAGCTAAACTTGCTAGGTTAGATGTTCAGATATGTGTTTTCCACTTTGATTTGCTTCTACGCATCTCTACCTACATCTTTTACTTGGCATCACTTACCTTATGTCCTATTGGCAATGAACCTGTTTGCGTTCCCTCTAAATCAACCGAGTGCTGTGTTTGAATCCACGTGATATTTAACTCTAGTTTAAAAGAGCAAGTGAACCCTGTTATCCCTGTGAATGGCACAGGAAAGGGTTAGCCATTGCCGAGCATGTCGGTTTGGGAAAACGCAGGACTGGGCATGGGTTGGGAGTCATGTGGCCAAGAGTGACCACGGTGGGTGAACACCAGAGCATGGCTGGGGTGTAACAAGCAGAGCAGTGGAATCAGAGCAGAGTTTCTCAGTGCAGGCTTATCTGCTGGCTGTTGTTTCCGGACTGTGAGAAACAACAACCGAGCATTTAAGGAACCCAGGGTCACTGGTCAGCTGGTGACACTCCCCGCCTGCCACTGGTCTGGATTGTACCTCAGAACGTAACAGAAGTTCACAGACACTTTACTCCTTCAACAGAGACCGTGTACACATCAGCCTCCTAGGTTTGCTGACGACTCATGCTGACTTCAATGTAACAGCACAGAGAGGGCTTTGAATGGATGTTTAAAGGAAGTAGAGAAGTCGGCAGCTGCAGGCGGGCCTGGGTGACTTAGGATCCAGGCTGATTGACACCAGTGCTGGCTCTGCTTCTGCCTGGGAAACACTGGGCGGGGTAGAAAGGCAAGCTCCCAATCACCCTCCCCAGCAGGAGCACCAAGCGGGGCAAGCCCTGAGTGCCAGGTGGGGCCCCTAGCTGGTATAGCTATCCTTTTCCTCCCCGTGGCCAGCTGGAGGGGAGAGAGAGATGGTCCTATCATTTCCTGCCCACCTGAAGTCAGGACCCACCCACTTTTCCCATCCTGGCTACCACAGCCATATCCAGACCCGCTTCTCCTCTGCTATTGCACAACACGTCCTTACCATGCAGCACCCTTCCCTCTTGATGTACCACCAGGATGCATGACGCCCGCCCTCCTTCCCAGGGCATTATTCTCCTATGGGTTCCTGGTAACTGTATTCCCGGGTCTGACTCCACTCCTCCTCCTCCTGTGAAGGAACAGATCCTGGTAGAGACAACCAAGATGGTTCCTTACACACACACACACACACACACACACACACACAACCAAGATGGTTCCTTCCACACACACACACATGTGCGTGCACACACAACTAAGCCATCATGCTACCAGTGAAGACATTCTAGGGAGTGTGTGTATGCAAGGTGACCAGCCCCTCTCCCTCTCTCCTCCTGTTATTTCCCCCTTAGTTTTGCTGCTATTTTTGTTTTTTGGCCCCAGTCAGTTCTTTTTTTTTTTTTTTGCTCAACAAGTTTTGCTGCTATTTGGGGAGGGGGGCGTGAGGGTCTCTCAAAAATCGGGCATGATGCCATAAAGTTTGGGATCAACTGCTGTAGACCATCCTCCACAAACCTCAGCTGGGGGACCAGGGATTGAAGAAGCAGACATCTTTTCTTCAGACAGGCTTTAGGGCTAGAAGGGACTCCCAGATAGAATCGCAGAACGCTAGAACTGGAAGGAACCTCGAGAGGTCATCGAGTCCAGTCCCCTGCCCTCACAGCAGGATCAAGCACCATAGATCACCCCTAACAGATGTCTGTCTAACCTGCTCTTAAATATCTCCAATATCATCTCATCTGACCCCCTGTGTATCACAGGCCACCAGCACTCCAAACCCACCACCTGAAATTAGAAAATGAGGCCTACAGCAGAAAAGAGTATTCCAAGATTGGGCAGAGAATCGGAGGACCTGAGGTGCACCAGGGCGGGAGATCTCTGCAGTGGGAGGGAAATGATGATGTGAGATATAACCAGATAATCTTAGCAAGCTCCCTCTCTCCCCATTCAGCACAGGAAGGCAGAACCCCGCCCCCTCCCCCAACATCACTTCCAGAGTGGGAGGGGAGAAATTCCTTCCCTGCCCTACATGTGGTGATGAGTTAGACCTTGAACACATGAGCAGGATCCAGCCAGCCCGTCTCCTGAGATACATAATACAATTTAACTACAAATTAGATTCATAGAATCATAGAACTGGAAGAGACCTCAGAAGGTCATCAAGTCATTAATGATCTGGGGATTCTTTCCAGCCTTAAACACAGTCTGAAGAAAAGATATCTAGTTATTCATTCCCTGGAATCCTAGCTGAGATCTGTGGGGGACGGTCCACAGAGATCTGCCCGGTGGCATGATGGCATCCCCTCCTCCACATAGAAAAGAGACAGAATCACCAAAGCAAGTCCAGTCCTCAAAATTGACAGAACTGAGTGAATGTTGAGTGAAACTGAACCAAGATGAGCCAGAAAAACAGGATGGACCCGGAATAGGATTGCTTCTCCGTAAACCTTACAGCAAAGAGATCAAATGGAGAAATTCGGTGTAGTGCTCTGCCTTGGCACAGCTAAATCAATGCTTCAGGTTTGAAAACTAGAAGACAGTGTTATTGGAAACCACATTGACAATAGCCCTTTTTGTTAAAACATAGTGAATGACAACAGCATAGCCCTTTTTGTTAAAACATAGCGAATGACAACAGTTTCTAGAGATGAGGGAAAAAAATATATACTTGATAGAATTCCCATTTTTAAAAATTACTAAAAAATTGAATGGAACAATTTTAACAATCCCTTTTTTATGAAATTGGAAATAAAAATTAACAATCAAAGTAACGCTGTATTTTTGAAAAATTAACAGAGTCTTGTGTCCCCTTCCTCTAGTATGGACTGGACTCCTCAGGGTGGATTACATCCCCCATCATGTTCCATGGACTCCTCCTGTGGTGGGCCGTGAC